ATAAAAGTCTCATTTTCTGGCACAGTTAAATTCAATTGCTTTGAAACAAGGAATTAGACACAGATCTAGTGGTTTTCTACTCTTGACATTTAAAGTGATTTCTTTCTGTCTGTCTTTCCATTTGCTATTTTATTTAATGATCGATTGTTTGATTGATTAAATCATTGATTGATTGATTTGATTGATTTGATTGATTGATTGATTGATTCATTCATTCATTCATTCATTTGTTCATTCAGCATTTAAAGTAATTTCCTTCTGTCTGTCTTTCCATTTGCTATTTCATTGATTTGATTGATTGATTCATTCATTTCGCATTTAAATTGTTTTCTTTCTCTCTTTCTTTCTCTTTCCATTTGCCTTCAGTGAATTAATTTGATTGATTAAATTATTGATTCGCTGATCCATTCATTCATTCATTCATTTGGCATTATAAAGTAATTTCTTTCTGTTGGTATTTCCATTTATTATTTCATTCAATGATTTAATTTGGTTGGTTGATTGATTGATTAATTGATTCATTCATTCCTTTATTTGGCATTTAAAACATTTCTTTCTCTCAGTTTTTCTATTTACTATTTTGTATCATTCAATGATTTGATTAATTCGATTTGATTGATTGTTTGATTTAAATCATTGATTGATCGATCTATTCATTCATTCATTTTACATTAATTTCGTTCTCTGTCTTTCCATTTTCTATTTCATTCAATGATTTGATTAATTGATTGATTAATTCATTCATTCAGCTAGGGCTGCACGATTAATCGAAAAAAGATCACAATCTCGATTCAACCCTACACACGATCCTAATTCAGCTTTTCTACGACTCAGCCAGTTCTATTTTCAAAGTCAGAAGAGAAGCAAGGCACGCGCACAAGTCTTCACAGCAACATTGACACCTTCAAACAGTGTTAAAAGTGGCACATACTGTATTTATAAGGTGTAATTTACCCAAAAATGTCATTTCTGTCTTCATGTAATGTTGTATTCGCGGCCACAAAATCACACGTGAGCTGACCGCCAGCTGTTTTTTTTACTACTGACAACGCGCGCGCACGCCCAATGACGCCTACTTTAGTGAACACAACCTGCATAGGCTGTGAATAACAGGTAATGAAGTTGTAAATAACGTTAAGTTTGTTGCACAGAGCGATCGTTTAAAGGCCAAGCGGGAGGTTTGATTTGCATGTATATGTTTCTTCCTCACATCAGCCATACGCTTATTTCGCGCCGTCGCCATTTTAAAGAACCAAAGCGAGGCTGCGGTGGGAAGAAACACGGAAGTATAGGACCAGCACTGTAAACATTGCAGTAACATTCTGTGTACTACCAACCTCCTGCTGTTGCCGAGATTTCAAAATGCAGAAATGTTGTAAACATCACTTTAATATCATTCAGTAAGTTTATTTAAAACAAACAAAAGCAATTTAGCATCAAACAACATCACAATCTCTTTAAGAGTATTATGCTCAGCAGCTCAAGTGTCCTCCTTGGATTCAATTCATGGCACCAGTTAAACACCGTGGGGACACTTCCCTGCTTCAGCCTATGTAACCCGGTGAGCGATAAAACACTGCAGTCCTCTGTAGCACACCCTCGTGCTGTCTGTAACAGTGTTGTCCTGGTACTAAAGTCTTAAAACCCTCTATTTCCCGCTAACATGGAAGCGCTGCTGAGTGCGGATGACTCGACTGATCTTTACGGCTGCTTCGCACTTCAGTCTCCGTGTATCTGTGTTCGCACTCAGTTTACCGCTCTTCACCCAGTGCAAACACAGATACACGGAGACTGGAGCGCGAAGCAGCCTTGAAGATCAGTCAAGTCATCAAGCGGATTGCTCGTCTGTTTGTGTTTGTGCTCGGTAAACAGCGGAGGTTGAACTGATGACCTTCTCGGCCAATCACGAGCATTTCTGTTGAACACGTGAACACAATGGCAAATCAGCGCTGTTTTAAGAAAGCTATCAACAGTGCCTTAAATGATAGCGAGAAATTTACGTTTTCTCTCTTAATTCAGTATAGTGACAAGTCTAATATAATGAAAGAGTCAGTTTATTAACTCGAGTTTGATAAATGGCATCTAAAACGTGTGTTTGGGAAAGAAAGTGTTAGCTAACTAGTGCCATTTCCCTTAACTTAGCTGAAAATGAGGTCTGATATCCCTTTTTGTTTTCACCATTCATTCAGAACGGATCTTCGGGTCACCTGGAAGGCGGTGAAATTATAAATTTGTGTCACTTTCTCTTCGCTGATTGGATATATAGCCAGCTACACAACATTCCTATGGAACTCCCAATTATACTTTTGGGTTTCTTCCCACCGCAGCATCGATTTTGCTTTTAAAAATGGCGGCCGCGTGAAATCAGTCTGTGAGCCGCACTCAGAAGCGAAAGTGAAACCTGTGCGCACATCATTTAAATGATCATATTGCATTTTACAGTTATGATTATGACGATCATTAGATTTTGTTTTTTTTTTGTTTCATAGTGAACACAAAGTTTTGTGCATGAAAATAAATGTTTTCTGTGTCGGTATAACTATTCTAGCCTATAATGTTGAATATAATGCAAGAAGGAATCTGATAATGACAGAATTTTTATTTTACCAGTGAAAACAAATGGTCTAATAATGTTGTCAATAACAGATGACAAGCACATGTCTCAAACATAATAAATCAACTTTATAATTATGAGTACTTGTATTCTGATGTCATCATTTTACTGTGAATTAACAAACAGGACATTGTACAAACTTTGCATTTTAAGCTACAGTAGACCAACACATAAGCCTAATAATATTATTGTTGTTTTACCATATGTTTGAGAATTAACAATAATAATAGGTTAATTATATTAACCTTTATTTTAAATTTACAGAATCGTGAGAAAATCGTGATCTTGATTTTAAGCAAAAAATAAATAAGAAAATAAAAATAAAAATCGTGATTCACATTTTTGCCAGAATCGTGCATCCCTACTTTCACCATTTAAAGTATTTTTTTCTCTCAGTCTTTAATTTGATTGTTTGGTTGGTTGATTGATTCATTCAATTTTTTTTCTCAGTCCTTTCATTTGACATTTCATTCAATGATTTGATTGATTCATTCTGTCCATTCATTCCGTTCAATTGATTGTTTGATTAAATCATTGATTAATTGATAGATTAATTCATTTAATTGGCATTTTAAATAATTTCTTTCTCTCTTTCTTTCTATTTGCTATTTTCTTCAATGATTTGATTTGATTCATTTAATTCGATTGATTGTTTAATTAAATCATTGATTTGATTGATTTATCGATTCATTCAGTTCAATTGATTGTTTGATTGAATCATTGTTTGATTGATTGATTGATTGATTCATTCATTTGGCATTTAAAATAATTTCTTTCTCTAAGTCTTTCCATTTGCTATTTCCTTCAATGATTTCATTTGATTGATTGATTCAATTCGATTGATTGTTTAATTAAATCATTGATTTGATTGATTGATTGACTGACTTAATTCATTCATTCATTCATTTATTTATTCATTTGGTATTCAAAGTAATTCCTTTCTGTCTGTCTCTCTATTTGCTATTTAATTCAATAATTAATGGACTTGATTTGATTTGGATTCATTCATTTATTCATTCATTCATTCATTCAATCAATCAATCATTTATTTGGCATTTGAAATAATTTGTTTTTGTCAGTCTTTCGACTTGCTTTTTCCTTCAATGATTTGATTTGATGGATTCATTCAATTCGATTGATTGTTTGTTTAATTGAATCATTGATTAATGCATTCATTCATTCATTCAGTATTTAAAGTAATTTCTTTCTGTCGGTCTTACCATATGTTATTTCATTCAATGATTTGATGGATTCATTCGATTTGATTGATTGTTTGATTTGAATCATTGATTGATTTATCCATTCATTCATTCATTCATTCATTCATTCCTTTGACATTAATCTCTTTGTCTGCCTTTCCATTTGCTATTTCGTTCAATGATTCGATTAATTGATTCATTCAATCATTCATTTATTCATTCAGCGTTTAAAGTAATTTTTTCTTTCATTTGTCTTTCATTTGATTGTTTGGTTGATTGAATGATTGAATGATTGATTGATTGATTGATTGATTGATTCATTCATTCATTCATTCATTCATTCATTCATTCATTCATTCATTCATTCATTCAACATTTCTCTTTCAGTCCTTTCCTGTCCTTTGCTGTTTACTTCAATGATTTGATTGATTAATTCATTTCATTCAAAAACTTGCATAGCAGTTTGAGCTTCCTTATATTTCAGTTTATGTTATATATCACAGTATCCCTGAGATGATGGTAAACCATCTTTAACTTGTCAATGACAGCACTGTGCAGACAGAGGAATGACCAGAATCTGCACAGACTAATCTAATATGTCTTCAATTGTCTTCCATCAGCATGATTCTTCCTTAATTTAATGTTGTTGTAGGCCAGGGCTTGCAAAACAATTTAAAGTGAATAGTTCAATAAACTGAGGAAAAATGTCTGTGCTCATGGTCATCTGATTTACAGTAGATCACATGGCGTGCATGAAATGTAATATCTGAAATTGAATATGAAATAATATACAGTAGTCAACATTTGATCAAAACCGTTCATCAACGTTGTCCTAAAACTATTCAGCAACACTCCTTTTTGTCTTGGAGCAATTAAAAAAAAAATTCTTCATTAACAATAATACAACAAATATAATATTTAAATGATATTTGCATTAAATTTATATAACCGTTTCATATTATTGTAACATAATGAACATGTTATTTTAATATAATTCTGGTGAAACATTTTATTTATTTATTTAGTTTATTTGTTGACCAAAATAATACAACTGTAAATTGTTTGCAGATATTTTTATCTTGAATATATTATGTGATATATGATCCTGGTTATGTTCAATAATTGCATATTGAAAGCTTTTCCCCCATGATTTTCTGTTATGCCGGAATCCTCTTGTTTCTCTACAGGAATGAAGATCTGAAGGAGATGCTGGAAAGCAACAAAGAGTCTCTGAAGCTGGAGGCCATGAAGAGGGTTGTGGGGGTATGTCATATTATCTTTGATTATACCGTATGACTGCGTTTATCAGTCAACATCTGTCTCATTCACATCTTTATCTTTCTGTCAGCTCATTGCCAATGGAAAGAATGCATCCGAGCTTTTTCCAGCAGTGGTGAAGAATGTTGCAAGCAAAAATATTGAGGTAAGAACAAAAATCATGGCCAAAAATCGCACAAGAGTTTTTTTTTTTTAAATCTCTGTTCAGAACTTGCATTCAACCTTGAGTAATGAGTTCATGCTGAAAAGTGTAAATGGTGTGTGAACAGTCAGACACACTGTACAGACACAAAAGAATGACTGAAAAAACATCACATACCTGTATTTTGCCTTCATCGCATTCATAATTTCATATTTGAGTTATTCTAAAATGTTTTCTACATTAATGGACCCTTCGCTAAGCCCCGCCCTTCTTAGTTACTGTTGCTACGCCTTTCAAGCTTTCATGCCTGGCACGGCTTTTTCAATGTGTGTGCGCCAGTGTCAGACATTGCCAGGAATATAATGTCATTTTTGGCGAACAGGTGAGATATCTGAGAAAGCCAGACAGAAAAGGACTGCAGTATGCATTACAGGGGTATATTCACCACATAACAGGCAACCGCTTAGAGATTAAATCAATTAAAATTAAAGATAGCTTAGCCTAGCCGCCTCATACGCTGACCATTCAACAGCTTAGCTCATGCTCAGCAGAAGAGCATTTAAAAATAATCTAACAATAACAAATGAAACCTTGATTTCTCTATTTTTAGCCAAAAAGCCTGATAGATTAATTGGTGTGCAATGAAATATAGCCTTACTAACCGACGAGGAAACGCGCATGACAGTGCTTTTACATCGTGCATTCATAGAAAGAGCAGCCAGAAAGGGAAACTGATGGATTTGTGCCGAATATTAGCATCATTGACCCATAACACCGTACAGTAAGTTACCTATTACTGTCAGTATGTTTGTGTGCTCTTCATAAATGACTGAAAAACAGCTGGGGGTGAAGTATATTGATCGCAGGTGCTCAGTTTTGTTTTGTTGATTTGTAATTTCAAATATTCAAAGCTTGAAATAGATGGAAATATGAAGTTCAGTAAAGTTAGCAACAGATTCGTATTTTTCAGATCAATAACTCATGTCATTATGACCCATTCGCTTTTAGTATGTTACTAACGTTATGGCGAAGGCCTAAACAGAGCATTACTCATAATATCGAGCGAAAAAAAAAAAAAAAAAAAAAAAAAAAAAAGAATAAGACAGCTGTGAAACATAACCAGCTTTGTGTTTTTGTAGGAAACACAGTTTAGATCTGTTTAGGGTAAGAGGTGTGTGAGTTATTGCCACAATAATATGATATGATATGAGTTATATCACTGAATGTGTCAGGAATATCAAAACAAAACCAACTTAGCTCCGCTCCTTTAGCGCCCCTCACACAGCTTGATCCACGCTGGCATTTCTCCTCTTGGGTTTGAGGTTTTGAAAAGGGAAAAAATTCCACCATCCCATCCAAACTTTAAGGAGACCTGGTATCAGATTTGCACAATCCATATGCACTCGCTCGAAAGCTTGACAGAGCCCCTGCGCGTAGCTACAGTTGCTAATCCATGATTGGTGGATGGCAGTTTTTGGGCGTGGCTTAGCGAAGGGTCAATCTTACCCCTTTTACAAGGTGTAAAATAAGCTTTTGGTGTCTCCAGAAAGTGTCTTACAACTAATAAACAGCCGTCAGTGATACAGACAAACGCGGATCAATAATACCAAGTAAATTCATTTCATGGGTTTGTGGTGGAGTTTATTCAAGCCTTTCTGAAATGATGAGTCACACACAAATGCTGTTTACAGTACACACAAACACACACATATTAGCGTTTACTGACACTATGCGACAGTGATTATTATAGCGGTTAAGAATTACACGGTCTTTATTACTAACATGCTCTGTTTTAAAAATGTTTAAAACTTCTAAAACAAATAAAAATCAGAGAGAATAGTAACAAATATTTTAATCCCAGTTTATTTGAAAAAGTCCTGTTGAGATGTGTTTACATGCTATTATATACAGGGCTTTACATTAACACCCACCAACCCGCCAAATGTGGGTAGATTTCAGCTTTGGCGGGTTAGACAGACACCTCCACTAGCCACTTTGGCTGGTTGAAAATAATTTTTAAATTGTAGTTTTCCTAAAAGCAGGGTTCGACAATATAAGGATGGCCCAATATGCGTGCAAATGTGATCTTAGAATCGAGAAGTAAAATAATTGTGATCACGCGAGCAGAAGAAAGCAAATGAATACCGAATGAAAGGATGACGATCACTCGCGCTAACAGCTGATGTGATGCATGCGACTTCTTAAAACGTGTGCGCGCGTGACTGCTTAACGCGTGCACGCTCCCGAATCGTGAAGCAACCGTGTTTGGAACAGGTTCTGAAAACGCAACTGTCATCAGTTCTCTTTCAAATAAACTAGACAAAAAGTGATGAACATGTGCTCACAGTCCTGATGCTTTTAAGAGCTCAAAATGTGTCTTTTTGTGAGCAGCACTGGTTGCTTTCACTTTGAACAGATTATTAAATGGCCTAAAGTTAACCGCGTACATGTGATCATTCTTTCATTATCACATACGGTATGTTTTACTTGCTTTCATTTGCTTACGGTTTTATTTGCTTTTATTTTTGTTAAAATGGTTTAATTATTTTTTTTTTTTTACAACATTGCTTTAATGGGAGACGAACTCTCCATTTATTTGCAGTTAACTGGTGATCCGAGAGATCTTTAGCCACGACAGATTATTGTCCATATTTTTGATACATGACAATAGTTATTTTTTAAAAGTCAATTGCTTTTTTTTCTTTTTCAAGAAATGTTTTGTTTAATAAAAAGTATAGTATACAGCTATTATTTTGCTTGTCTTGACACATTACAAATTTGTGGCTAAGAAATAATTATTGTTTCGTGTGGTTTTAAAGATGAACTTGGTACATCGTTAATTTTGAGCTCTAAAAAAAGTCATGTGAAATAAAAACTAATTGCAATATAACACTATGAAACCCTGACCCATTTGCTCATGCTCATTAAACAAACTCATACTGGACACACAAAAAGTGAAATGAATGAGGACGCATGTGGACATAACATCAAATTTAAATCAAGTAATTTTAGCATGTCAACGTCAAATTTATGCATATAAAATATATTTTCCCAACAACAAAATTGTGGCTAGTGAAAATGCAGAGGTGCTAGTAACATTGGAAAACTACTAGCCACCGTGGCCGGTGATTAAAAAAGTTAATGTAAAGCCCTGATTCTATAAACATGGCACCTGTCAATCAATTCGGCGGGTGGTGAAAACTGCACTCCTATATTACGTTGAGGTGCGCTTCAAAATCACTGAGATTTGGGTCCTATTTTAACGTCAGGAAATTGAAAAAAGAGACTTGTGATTTTTATCACTCCAATATGACTGTGGACACACACTAGATTAGGGCTGTGCGATTTGGGGAAAATATCTAATTGCTTTTTAGTGACATGTATTGCGATTTGCTATTTAATTTACGATTTAATTCAGTCTGGTTTTAATTTATTCAAGCTTCAGCTCGATGATCTTAAAGCCGTGTCAACAATTCTGCGACAGCTCTTAAAAAAATTACTAATTGACTTTTAAACCAAAATATTCCCACATTACAAACGCTGTTTTTCTTTGATATTAATTAGTCTATTATTGCTTCTAAAGCAGCAGATGCCATCATCCCACTGGTCAGCGCTTTCCTGTTTGCTGTTATTGTGGGCGTAGTTGCACAGTTCTGATTGGGCAGAATGAAAGTGCGCTCACTCAGTTGGCTAGTTAAAAGCCCTGGTCAGATCCCTAGATTTCGGCATGATTTCCTTGACGTAGGGTGTCGTGGGAAGACGTAAATTGCAAATGGACGTTGTGACACAAGATTCAATCAATTCTTCTCGTGTGAAGTGGTATAGTTTACCACAGCCGTTACCATATCTGCGATGCCTCACGACACCACCGCATGTTCAGTTTTCTGAAGTATAGCAGACTGGTTTTGAAGATGTTATTTTTGTTTACATATATATTTTATATTGCAGCCTCTTGCGATTAACTGATTGCGACGTTTCAAATTGCGATTAGATTTCGATTAATCGCACAGCCCTACACTATATATACACAGTTCTGTTCAAACAGCTTACAAACGTTGACTTTCATCATAGGTGCCCTTTAATTTTTTTTTGTTGAAACCTGATTACGTATAAAAATAAGATAAAGCAACATGTAAGATATTTGTTGTCTTGACTTTTTGTCATAAAATTGCTTTACAGTGCAAAATCGGTCATAAAATTTTTTTATGATGCATCATTAGAGAGTAAGAAGAGATGTCATTTACCAAAACTACACACACACACACACAAACACACACACACACACACACATACACACAGTTAATAATCAGCCGGGCAGCTGTGGGGACCCCAGCGAACCAGTTTATTTTTGTTCAGGCTTCTGACAGGGAAGCCCTTGTTGATGAAGAGTGAATGTTTTCGATGGAGAGAAGAATGTTTGGACAGGAAGATGGAAAGACATGAGCGGTGGTTGTGAAAAGAGTCCAGAGTATGGCTTGTGTGTGTGTGTGTGTGTGTATGTGTGTGTGCGCGCGCATGTCTTTTTTTTTTTTTTTTTGGTTTGGTAATTGCTGTTCCAGAGGCCCAGTCACGATCTCTGTGTCTCCCCCACGACTGAAGCTCGGTGCTGGGCAGCTGTGAACCGAACACTGCTGCTCTCTGGAGCTCAGAGACTAGGGTTGCTGGTGCACACGCACACACGTGGGGCTAACCACAGGTGTTAAAGATGAGAGCATTGATCCACTCACTGCAGGGTTACACACACATGCAAGCACTTATATACTTGACCTCAGAGTCAATGATAGGCTCCGCCCCTCCTTGGTTACTGTTGCTAACTGAGACCAGTTTAATTGAAAATGCTCAAAAAATTAATTAGTTGATTTTGAATCAATTGTGTTTGTAGTGTGGTACAATTGAATAAATATGAGTCTTTCTTTGACATTTTAAAATCTTTTTTTTTTTATAAATTGATTCATGGGTGACGCAGTGGCGCAGTAGCTAGTGGTTGTTGCCTTACAGCAAGAAGGTCGCTGGTTCAAGCCTCGGCTGGGTCAGTTGGCATTTCTGTGTGAAGTTTGCATGTTCTCCCTGCGTTCCCGTTGGTTTCCTCCAGGCGCTCCGGTTTCCCTCACAGTCCAAGGACATGTACTATAGATAAATTGGGTAAGCTAACTTGTCCGTAGTGTATGTGTGTAAATGAATGTGTGGATAATTTGACCTGTCGGATGAACGCCGCTCACTTTAAAGTTAATTTTGCCGAATCCCTGTGTTTATCACTGGGTGACAAGCTGTTATAATACGCTGAAAGCATGAAGTAAATAAAATATTAAATATGTAAACAATATATTTTATTTCTGAGAAAACAACAAACTCTGCACCGCATCGGATGTCATTTCCTCACTGTAAATGCTAGCGCTCCCGTTTTTTTTCTGCCACCTCCCTGCGCTCATCCTGAATGTTTACAAACATGGTCATTTATCTATATCATAACTTTAACTGTTAAAAGCTGTTAGTTAGTTAATTAGCTAAAGTGACTTTTCTGAATTTGATGGTAATATGGGTGACACGGTGGCTCAGTGGTTAGCACTGTCGCTTTACAGCAAGAGGGTCACTGGTTTGAGTCCAGGTTGGGACAATTGGCGTTACTCTTTGTAGTTTGCATGTTCTCCCCGTGTTGGTTGGGTTTCCCCCCCACAGTCCAAAGACATGTGCTGTAGGTGAATTAGGTAAGCAAAATTGTCCATAGTGTGTGTGGATGAGTGTTTCTCAGTACTGGGTTGCAGCTGGAAGGGCATCCGCTGTGTAAAACATATGCTGGATAAGTTGGTGGGTCATTCCGCTGTTTCGATCCCAGATTAATAAAGAGACTAAGCCGAAGGAAATGTTAAGCTGCTTTGAAACTGAAACACTTCTGTAAAAAGCACTATACAAATAAACTTAAATTTAATTGAATTATATAAACATTATAATATGTTTCTAAAATGTCTGATGGCGCATTATTATGATGATTTTTGTGTCTTAGCTGCAAATTGTTTTAACTCTGCATAATTATTTATTTTAATTTATATAATATAATAATATTTTAATAAATATATATTTTTTTACTTAACAATTCGACTTAATTTGTCATTTTATAATTTTCCTTTATTACTTTTCAAGTTCTATACGTTGCTTCATTAATTCATTAATTTATTCTGTAATTTAAAAATAAATGAAATTAGTTTTGTTGTAATTGATTCTGTTCTGTTGCTTTTGACTTATTATTTATTAAATCCGTAATTGCTATTTGTTTATTTCTAATTTCATCCATTCTTCTGTAGTGTACTTTGTTCAATTGTTACTTTTAGTGATTTACTTGCATTGTTATTCATATTTTTCTTTGCTTTAATCCACATCATCCATTTCTTAGAGTTTTTAAAACCATATTTAGCAACTAACCAAAAATAACGTTTGTATTTAGTTTCATGATGGAGCTTTTGGAAATATAAAATAATGTTATTATATACAGTTGAAGTCAGAATTATTAGCCCTCCTGAATTATTTGTTTTATTTCGGCTAGAATAAAAGCAGTTTTTATCTTTTCAATATTATTAGCCCCTTTAAGCTATATATATATTATTTGATTGTATACAGAACAAACCATTGTTATCCAATTACTTGCCTATTTACCCTAACCTGCCTAGTTAACCTAAGTATCCTAGTTAAGCCTTTAAATGTCACTTTAAGCTGTATAGAAGTGTCTTGAAAAATATCTAGTCAAATATTATTTACTGTCATCATGGCAAAGGTAAAATAAATCAGTTACTAGAGATGAGTTATTAAAACTATTAAGATTAGAAAGGTGTTGGAAAAAGTCTACTCTCCGTTAAACAGAAATTGGGGGGAAAAAAAAAAAAAAAAAAAATATATATATATATATATATATATATATATATATATACACACACACACACACACACACACACACACACACACAGTTGAAGTCAGAATTATTAGCCCCCCTTTGAATTTTTGTTGCTTTTTTTTTTTTTTATATTTCACATTATATTTAACAGGGCAAGGAATGAGCACAGCATGTCTGATAATGTTTTTTCTTCTGGAATAAGCCTTATTTGTTTTATTTCGACTAGAATAAAATCAGTTATTAATTTTTTAAACACCATTTTAAAGACAAAATTATTAACCCCTTTAAGCTAACTTTTTTTTCGATAGTCTACACAACAAATCATAACCTGCCTAGTTAACCTAATTAACCTAGTTAAGCCTTTAAAAGTCACTTTAGGCTGTATAGAAGTGCCTTGAAAAATATCTAGTAAATTATTATTTACTGTCATCATGGCAAAGATAAAATAAATGAGTTATTAGAGATGAGTTATTAAAACTATTATGTTTAGAAATGTGTTAAAGAAATCTTCTCTCTGTTGAACAGAAATTGGGGAAAAAAATAAACATGGGTTCTAATAATTCAGGGTGGCCAATAATTCTGACATCAACTATATATATTCATGTTGTCACAATTGTGTGAAACCCTGCATATTTACAGTGTAACTACAGTAATCTTACTTCTATAAATGCCAGCAGTTTGTTTAGCCATTATCTAATTAGCATGCGCACGGCTGCTCCAATCGCTGATCAGCAGGCTGCTGTATGCAAATGTGATTAAGCAGAGGGGCAGATGGGTAATGTCTCTCTTTATGAAGTGACTGATGTTTTTCCATTTGGCTGGTAATCGCGCTGTTGATGATGATGAAACGCGTCTCTGTGACTTTATGGTCATTAATGACCTCTCGTCACCTCCAGAGCTGGACGCAATTATACAGAGAGCCGACCTTTGACCCTTGACCCTCGAGCACATGCTGATCAGACAGTTTCATCATAGACTCGCGGTTATGAAGATGGAATGTGAGTTTGGGGAAGCTGGGATTGCATTATGAGTGGTTATCGGATGCTTCCAGTTTTGTGGGCTTCTTTGCAAAGGTGTTTTTTTAGGAATGGGAATTAAGGATGCATTTAAAAATAATTAATTAAATGGTCAATTTGAATATTTAAAGTAATAAAAAAAGGATATTTGTTTATTTAAATTGAGTTGAATGAGGAGGAGGGTACGACCGCATTTTTTCACTTACGCAACATTGCCCGCATCCGTCCTTTTCTATGGAACAAAATCAATGGCAAAAGTATTGAAATAAAAAGCTTGTCGAATAGCACAAGCTTAAAAAAAATACGTTGAATTAACAACTGCTTGCATTTTAATGAATTAAATTGAGTTTGTATTTTTAAGGCCTGAAATTTAACACAGATGTTTATTTAAGCTGTGAATATTTCAACTAAAAATATTTCAAACACATTTCCATACTTATAAAAAAAATCAATAATTCATATTCAATTTCCAGATTTCATGTATAATATTCGCTTCCAAATATTCAATGGATCAAATTCGGCTGTTAAAATTCGACATTGACTATATTAAATGCTACTTTTGTGCCGTTAATAGCTTTTTTCCTCACCTATTGACTTGTATAAAAATCTTAAATTTGTCCACCTGCTAGTATAATAAAAAGCAGCTGGAGATTGTCAATCTGCAATCTATACTGCTTGGCCTGCAGTTCCCGGAAGTAATGTCAAATTTTAAGAGCCGAATTTGATATACTGAATTTATGGAAGCGAATTTTTGAACTGAAATAAAATGAACTGAAAATTAGGTATTTTTCACCGGTATTGAATATTTTGTAGGTGAAATCTAGAAATTTAATATGAAATACTGAATTCATAAGTATGGAAATGTGTTTGAAACATTTTTTGTTGAAGTATTCACAGCTTAAATAAACATCTGTGTTAAATTTCAGGCCCTAAAAACACAAACCCTGGCAAATCAAGTCATTAAAATGCAAGCAGTTGTTAATTCATTGTATTATTTTTTTCAGTTTGCGCTATTTGCATTTTAAGGAATAAAATTTTTTAAATAATTAATTAATTAGTCATTTTGATTATTTGAAGGGATAAAATATAAACATTTGTGTATTTAAATGAAGGTGAATGAAGAAAGATTATTAAATTATTCCAAAAAAGCAAAAACAATTTGTATTTTAAGGAATCACATTTTTCAAAGAATTAAAGAACAAAAGCAGTGCATGACGTTTAATGAGAAGAGGTTTATTTTTAATAATTGTTCTTGACTATTTCTGAACACACTAACTGTCTTATGCTATGATCACAACCAATTTAGGGAAAAGTTACTTTTCAAAAGTAATGGCTTACACTCTTACATTTAGTCTTTTTTTCTTCTTAATGTAACTAAATGAGCTACATGTTTCTTTTTTGAGAATATAAGATTGTAATCCAATACTTTATAAAAGTAACTTTCCCCAAAACTGGTTGTGATCATAGCATAATTGTGAAAATAGCTTAAGTGTGTTCAGAAATACTGTCAAAATTAATTGTTAAGAATAATATCCTTCTTATTAATCTTAATGTGGTACTTTACTCTCTTGTCTGAGTTGCACTTACTTGTTTGTTAAAATATATAAAAACATATTCTCAGTGTTTGCATTAGCGTTTTTATTTTTTGTGCTGATCAATTATGTGCGTTTTCTGTTGCAAATTGTGTAAAAAATCTAAATAACTTGAAATTGTGATAAAAATGTTTTTTTCTCTGTTTGAATTGGTCTTTTTATTTTTTATTTTATTTATTTTTTGCAGATCAAATATTTGTTCTATCTGTAGCAAGTGTGAAACAAACTAAAATAGCTTGAAAGAGTGACAAAAAGTTTATTTTCTAAGTGTTTGAATTCTTGTTTTGCAGATCAAATATTTGTTCTTTCTGTAGCAGACTGGGAAATAAACAAAAAATGTTTTTATAAATAAAAAAAGTGTTCGAGATCAGGATATTTTTTTAATCTTCTGTGTGTTTGTGTGTTTTAGCTGAAGAAGCTGGTGTATGTGTATCTCGTCCGCTACGCAGAGGAACAGCAGGATCTCGCCCTCCTGTCAATCAGCACCTTCCAGCGGGCACTCAAGGTAAGCCCCGCCCCTTGATTTATTTCAGAATTGATAAACAGTATATTATATAGTATATTATTTTAGTTCTTTAAAATATTATATATTATTTAATTATGTAATACGTATTATGTATTATATTTTATAATGTATAATATATTATGTGTCTAAAAAACCAGCAACCTTTTTGCTGTGAGGCGATGGTGCAAACCACTGCACCAGAGGCAGCCTATCACTGTTATATAATGTAAATAATATTATCAAAATAAATTAATGTAATAATAATTATAATAACACTTACTATTTGTATTATTATTATTATTATTATTATTATATATAAACATTTGTCATCATGTCTGTCTCTGTGTCTCTCTCTGTGTTAGGACCCGAATCAGCTGATTCGAGCGAGTGCTCTGCGGGTTCTGTCCAGCATCAGAGTCCCCATCATTGTCCCCATCATGATGCTGGCCATCAAAGAAGCAGCCACTGATCTTTCACCATACGTGCGCAAAACAGCAGCTCACGCCATCCAAAAACTCTACAGGTAAAACACACACACACACGTCCTCACTAGTGGGTTATTCTTATATCTCACCATATAAGTGAGAACAACTGAGTTTTCACAAGTATAGCTAAACCCATTCATGTACACACACATGAGGCTCTTCACACACACACTTCTGCTTGTGTATTCAGTCTGGATCCTGACCAGAAGGAGCATCTCATCGAAGTCATCGAGAAACTGCTGAAGGACAAAAGCACGGTAAACGACTCCGCACACAAACACTATCCAGTGCTTTACTGTATTTAAAATGTGTTGTTGTTTTTTTGCTAGTGATCGACTATTCACATTGTTCACAAATGTGACATTTTATGACTTTAAATAATATATGATTAATAGTATATGATATTTATTAAAATCCGATGCAAAAGCATGATTATTTTAGTAATTGCTTTTTCTTTAAACCTTTGTAATCATAAACATGAAAAACAAACTATTCTAAAACGTATTTTTGAAGTATTTTAATTGATTAAATTAGATAATGAAAATTAAGAAATAAAATGCGTTTTGTAATTGACTGCTATTAATATACTTAAATTCATAATTTTAATTAATTAATAATTCATTAAATAAATATTTTTGTTTACTACTAAAATACTTACATTTTTAGTTAACTTCTGAGTTGAATTAAATTGTCTTATTTTTGTTTGATTAATCATTTAATTAACTATCTATTAATGAAGCAAAGAAAAATATATA